AAAGATTTGGCTCAATGGGCAAGGCGGCTACTGCTTGGAGCGCGGGGGGAGGTGGCGTGGGAGGCACAAGGGGCCAGGTGGGTAGCAGGAGGCCGGGGCTCGAGCCGGGGAGGTGGCTCCAGCCCGGTAGGAGCCTCGGTGGGACCAGGGTTAATATGTAACCCGAAGTCCTGAGCCGCAGCCTGGCCCTAGGCTAGACCACAGTTGGGACTTTCTCCTGCCTGATGTCAAGGCCACCCCAGGAGTCCAGGCCCCAGGACCCGTGAACGTCAAGGTCATTGCAGCTCATGGGGTGGGCTCACCACTCTTGCTCTGGTCTGTAGCCCCATCTCCCCCCTTGTACGGTCTTCCTCCTCCAAGCACAGCTTAGAAAATGGTGGTCCAGGCAGGGTCCAGGGAAGGTGCCTCCAGTCACTTGCCTTCTGGAGCCTGGGACCTGGCAGGACATCCTCCATCCATCCCACCTGCCACAGGTAGGGTGGGCTCAGAAACTGGCCTGAGGGTACGGCTGGCAAATAGGGCAGGAGCAGGTGGGCTGGGTGCAGGAGGGGGCGTGGATGCCGCTCACGCCTCTGTGGCCACCTGAGTCAGCCCCATCCTCGGGGAGTACCCAGGCCACCTGGCAGGTTGAAGCTCAGAGGGGGTGGCAGCCCGCTTTAGGACACACAGCGAGTCTGGGAGAATGAGAACCAGCCTCCAGCTTCCAGAACACCTCCGGGCGAACATACCAGTGGGACAGGGAGGAGGCAGGTGAGGGTGGCGGAGGTGGCGGAGGTGGCGGAGGCGTCGGAGGGAGAGTGTTGCTGGCTTCCTGCTTCCTGGTCCGGAGGCCGGAGCCCCAAGTGTTTGGGGATCGGGAGCCCGGGGAGGGAGAGTCAGATGGAGGTCCTTTGCGGTGACCTGAAGGGGGTCTTGCCCTCTTTGGTCCCAGCCACCGACCTCCAGACCCAGACCGAGTTCTTGCCTCTGCGTCCTGAAGCTCTGATGCCTCGGAGGGCGTTTTGGAAGTGGGAGGAGGAGGAGAAGAAGGAGGAGGAGAAGAAGAAGGAAGAGAGAGAAAGAGAGAGAAACATCAATGTGAGAGTGACACATTGATTGGTTGCCTCATGCAGGAGCCTGCACCAGGGCTAGGGAATCAAACCTGCAACCCAGGTACATGCCCTTGACTGAGAATTAAAGCTAAGACCCTTCAGAGAACAAACTGATATTCCAACCACTGAGCAAAACTGGCCAGGGCAGTCATTTTAAGTTTTTAGTGTTTTTTTGATTTTTGCTTTTTTGGCTGCTGTTCTGCGGGTGCCGGCAGCTACGTCAGTTCCCAAGTGAGGGCTCGCGGGGCTGTGCCAGGCAGAAGACTCCACTTTATATAACAAACCTGCAGACACAAGTCACAGAAATTTTCTCCCCGAGCTCTGACGCATTCACTCCCACTCAAGCCCCGGCAAGAAAGAGAAAAAAAAAAGAGGGGACCCAGCCTAGGGCTCCAGGACCACCAGGCTCCCTCCCAATCTCGGTCGCTGACTTTGCTGGGAGATACTTGCGTTATTTCGACCTTTCTGCGCCTCCGTTCCTCCTCTCGGAAGATGGCATTCGGTCAGGCGCCCTCAGAGTCCTTACCCACGCTGACATGTGTGGCTCTGAGCAGCCCCTGGGAGCCCTGCAGGACTGGGGGTGGGGGG